TTACTTTAAAAGATGGAGCGTTAAGCAATATTTTGTGGAGGCAGTCAAGTGTTGATCCCCCGAGAGCTAAGAGTTATTTATTTATTATATAATTCTTTAAGGTGGCCTTGGATAAGTTCAGACTAATTGTTTATAATGTATTCACATATCTTTTCCATTCCAGGTATCTGTCTCATTCATAGTCCTCAGCGGCATTGTTTTCCTTTTTTCTCTGTTCTGATGGCAGTTGTGTGTGTTCTATATGACTCATTTACCTAATGAACTACATGTATTGTAATGTATTGGAATTCTGTCATTCCTTATATATTGGCATATGTTATTTAAGATAAATGGAGCAAATATACATTCTTAAGAGCATTTGGCATAGGGTTATAACTGTCATCTTCCTGATATAGAATATTTTAAAGAGTATTGGAAAAAAAGGAAATTTCTTTTTGTTTGATAAAAATTATTCAAAATGTCACTATAAATCTTTTCAGACTTGAAAAAAAAAAAAATCTATAATCAGTGCAAAAGATTAGGTATTACCATCACAGAAGTTGGTACTAACAACAGAAAGTGGAATAGTCAGTATAGTGTTATCATTACTGAAGTTGGTGCTATCTTCACAGAAGGCGGCACTAAAAATGATAATTAAAAGAAAATGTTACTAGCATCAAAAGAGGAATTTGATTACATCTCCTCCCCGTTTATAAGAGGGACATATGGCACAATCTTACTAGAGCCTCATAATGGCTAAGAGCATTCTGATATACTGCATGTTGGAGGCTTGCGGTATTTAGAAAAAAAAAATCTTAGCTATAATATATTTCAAGTATTTTCCAGTTTGATGTCTGAGCTACCTTGCTTTAACTTACTTGGACTTCATTAATGCTTCTACTTCTTAATGGAGATGTATATTATATTTCATGGAAAATGTATTTTATCACAAGTGTCATTTTCAAGAATTCACTTTACTGGAGTTTAAACTAGAGAGGATTAGAGTGAATAATATTTTTTTTTTTGTGCAGTTATTTGATACATTTGAATTTTATATGCCTCATTTGTATATATAAGTCCACATAAATTTGTTTATTCTGATGATAAGAAGATTTAATATTACAGAGAACATATGATGAAAAAAAGTATTCTTTTTTGAGAGCAGGTATAACCGGCACACACTCACTTATGTTCATTTTTTCTTCCAAGCTTATGTAATATGACTCGTATATATATATATTTTTTTGTTGTTTGCATAATTATTTGGTATTTATATTTTGGAATAAATCCTAAACCGTGAAATAGGACTATCAAAGTATTGTTTTTTAGAAAGCTTATGTAAGACTCCTGTGTGTGCTAAGGGTATTGGCCATAGTCAAGTGATGGACATGACCTCAGTGCCTTGTACTGAGGCAAAGGCCAATAAATCTTAACAAATTATGTTCAGATGAAATAGAACTAGTAGATGCTTCCATGTGAATTACTATTTAAATATGGATCCAAGCTGAGTCTTGCTGGAATAAACATGGTAGCATTACAGTGACCTCTGTATATATTTAATTTTTTTTTCCTTCTTCAATTTTTTTTTATATTTTATTTCAATTTAATTTAATTTTTAAGCAGAACTGTGCTCATTGTGAGAAAAAGTATGAATGGGAATGAATATCATCACAGTGCAAGAGATGTATTTCCCTGGTTTCACTTATCTCTTCATCAAAAATATATGTATATCTGACAAAGATGTAATGGGAAAAGGTCAGATACATCTCTCACACTGTTAAGATGTTAAGCTATTCATTCTCATTCATACCTCTTCTACAAAATGAGCAGCATATGATGTAGCTTCACAATCAGAGTTTACAATAACATTGCCGCCACTATATTGATGCTGTAATTTTGAATCTGGGCCATTATTCTGTCAACAGAGGATGGACTGGAAGAGTTAGCAGAGGACCTTAATAGCAGCAAGATAATGTATGCTGTGGTGCGCGTTACAGATCCAAACACAACCAGGTTTAAGATCGTGTTAATAAATTGGGTGTGTATTTTGATTTTTTTTTTCTGGTGTTACTGTTGCTAGCCTCCTTTCTGGTGTTCAATTTTTGTTGTTGTTAATTGTTATATATAATGTCTAAAGCACATGATTGTATGATAAAAACTTGAGGAGGAGATGGATATAAAAAAAATGGTGATTTTAGAGGGAGGGAGATGGGGGGAGGGGGAGAGGGAGGAGGTAGGGGAACTTTTACATATCAGTTCTTATTCACATAGTGGTCTTGCCTTCTCATGATATGTTTATCTCAATACAATCAGTAATAACAGTTTTTCCCTCCAGACTGGCACCTCCTGTTAAGTATAAAATTTTCAGGTTGAATTTTATTTTTGTTAAACTATTGTGTTATCTATGCTTTGATAATTGATATTTATTCTTAAAAAAGAGCCATAGCTATAGAATGTTCATAGGCATTCCCTGAACAGTAAAATTCCTCTTGATTTGGAAGCCAGAATAATTAGTGTATTA